TACAGAGAGGGAAGAAAACTATAATTTTATAAAATTATTTATAAATAGAATAACTTGTGGCCATTTCACTATGGAAAGTTATATTCACTGCTCCGAAAATATTGGCTGAAAACTTCATTTTACTACGTTGCCAGTATGTTTTTATTGTCAGAGTTCAAAACAGAGTTCAGTTCCTACTGAAGCTAGTGGCAACCAGTGCTGAGTGTATATGGTTTTGTTTTTTGATTTGGGGTGGGATTTTTTTTGCTTTGTATTAATGTTAGCTAATTGCTGCGCTATTTTAATTCTTTGGGGGGAAAAAAGGCAACTACATCTACAGAAGCCCCAAACTGTTCTTCGCAGAGAACCTTTTCAAGTCACAATGTGTATTTCATGCTGTAATTTTGTGAGTCTAGACATTCTGAAAAGTAGATTTTCAAAAAGCCTGTTTGGTAGTTTTACAAAGACAGTTTCTAGACACATTTCCTATTTCTTTCATTGTTTCTTAAAAGATAACAGATACTGTGTTCTGTATGCATAATGCTAACTGATGTTAACTTTATTTGTATCAATTGCACTTTGGATAGCACTTTAAAAGAGATCAGTAAGTGCCTTATCAGCATCTCTCATATGCTGTTAAAGTAGCTGTGAAATTTACTAAGTATTTGTGGATGCTTAATTGCCATTGCAAATCTGTCCCTTTTTTCTTGCCAGACTACTTCAGTCAATGGGAAAAACTTTTGATAGAACTGTTCAGAATTTTTTTTTTGAGAGAGAAGTTGCTCTTACCTTAAGTATCTAGTAAGTTACTTTTCTCAAGAACCAGGAATTTGTTCTTTAATCCTATTTCCTGAAACCTGCAGAAGTACCACAGCTTGAAAATTAAATGTACTCCAGATAATATTCTTTGTTAGCAGAAGGGTGAACCTGAGAACTGTCAGGTCTTTCACATCTGTAATTTTAATGACGAAAATGTCCTTTTAAACCAAATGACAAAGCCTGCTGTGTATATATTTTTTTCTTTTTTGTTTTTTTTAGGCTCAAAGATATATCAACACTGTTGGAAAAGCAACATGACCTCATTAAATTGATTATCCAAAAAATGGAGATAGTGTCAGAGGCTGAGGATGAAGACAGCAATGATTTATTTCAGCACAAGTTTAGGAAAAGGCAGTTAGAGCACAAGAATAGTAAATGGGATACAGTGTTAAAAGCTGTTAAAACAAATGTGCCTAACCCAAGCACAGAAAAGAACAATAGCTTCTTCTAGACATGGCTATGATATCACGTTGTATTATCATTTTGGTTTACTTTAGGGTCACTTCTCTTATTGTCTGTGCATAATGTTAATGTGATACATCATATATTCAAGTATAAAAAAAGGCCAGATCCAAAAAAAGGATGCAGGTGCTCAAAACAGTGTTTAAGGAGACTGAAGATGTCTACATCCAAAACTGTGATCCTAAAAGTGGCTGGCTAATCAGGAAAGTGCCTAACTCACCAGATGCCAACCTTGCTGTCCTGACAGGTCCCAAGGCTTCTGTCTAGATCTGTTCCTGGATTTGGCCCTAATACTCTTAGGTCTGTACTTAATTACATTATTTTCGGTTACGAATATTTTTAGAATTTCCAAATTTTTAGAAATCCAAACTCTAACCATTTAGTGTTCGGATGTTTTGAGAGAGCCCATGGGCTTTATGTAGCTTAAAGAAAAAGTAAGAAACTAACCTGACAGATTGCGTTGGAAGTTTTGCTGAGTAAGGACTGCAGGATCAGGCCTGAAAGGTAAGAAACAAAGAGACCACGAAAATGTCATGTAAGGGAAGAACTGTTTTCTTTTGTAGAGAACTATATGCAATTCTCAGAGGGATCATTTGTACTAGCATGCATATAGCAACGATAGAATGACACAGTAAATATTAGTCATTTACAACTTGCTGTCCTTATATTGCTAATGTGACTTTGGCCTTCCTGATAACCTAAAAACTGGCCTTGCTACTTTCATCTGCACTTTGGTTTTATTATTTATTTACTGCATATTCAGTGCATTATGTAATATACAGTAATATGTCAAATGTGGAAACAAACATGAATTAAACTGTGTTTAAGTACCTGAGTATATTTGTTTCAAAAACAGTGCTAATAAACTAATTATGACTACATGTGGTTGTAATGCTCTGTGGTCTGCTTTTGAATTCAGACATTTTCTTTAAGAACTTAATGTACGTTAATTCTTCATGTAAAGAACAATTATGATTCCTGTTTATTTAAAAGGTAGCCACCAGAAGGTAATTCACACTGTACAGAACTTGTCCAATCTTCAGAAAACACAGGAAGGTGCGCTGTAAATTAGTGAGTCTTGTGCCTTAAGATTGCCATGGATGACACGCTACTCGGTACGGAAAATGCTTTCTCACCCAACCGCTTTATCCCAGCTTTGAGACTTTAAATCTTTGCCTGGTAAAATAGAGAAAGGAGGAAGTTATCACTTAGTTCTGCCTATTCTACGACACTTACTAAGGTGAACAGTTGCTTAATATCAAATGGTGGATGGCATCTGTAGAGATTCAGGAAGCGTTTGGAGTTTGTTTCTCTTCACTAGCAAGATTCGTCGATACCTTTGAATCCTGTGGCATAAATCCACGCCAGCTCTAACTGAAGACATTTGCTGTTAAAACTGAAGTTCTGTTCTGGGTTTGCCTCCCAGAATCTGCGTAGGCATTTTGCGTTTAAGTGTGACTGTAATAGCTTAGTTAAGTAATAGCTTAAGGCAGAAAACAAGCATTTGGCTACTCCATTCAAACAGCAAATTGGGGGCATGGACATACGCATTGCTGTGTGACTGTGTCCACAAATATACTCCTGGGAGCCCCAGAGGCCCCATCCTTAAGTCTGCCTCTGGATCCCGTTCTAACTGTGCTGTTGAGATCTGGTGTGTACCATCTCTCTCGCATACCCAGGTGGAAAGAAATACGGTGCAGAGATGGTGGAGCATAACAGCGTCCTCAGTTTTCTCTTGACAAGTAGAGGATGAGGAACGTGTGCTGCAAAGCACGCTGCATCTGCCCTGCAGCCTGCAGGAGGAGCAGCTGTGGGTTCTGCTTCAGGACCAAGTCTGGTGTGACACAGTGAAACAGGGAGGGAGAACCAGTGAGCAGAGTCAGAATCAAGAAAGTAAAATTGAAGGTAGCTGTAGTCATTGAAGTTGTGTTGTGGCCTCTAAACTTAAATCTGTTCCTATGAATAGGCTGATTGGATTTTCTGAGCTACTGTGCACCTGCAGCTCCCTCTGTCAGTGGAAACAGGAATTTCCAGGTTCTCAGGGTAAGGCCAAACTTGAAAAATTTAAATTTTTAATTCTTAAAGCGAGAAAAGTAATTTTAAGTTCCTGACAATCTGTACCATTAACACTAGATGGCAGTGAGTGATAACATTTTTGAATAAGTAGATTGGGCCTAAATACATAGTTTTAAGTGAAGAGGAACAGCAGTACCGTTACAGCAGAAGCAAAGTAGTCAGCGCTTATAGTTTTAAAGTTCAAGCCTTTCAAGCTTCTTTAAACAGAACTCAGGCATTTATACACAGCAGCCTCTCAGGGATTTAATCTTTTCTGAGCTTTTAACTTACAATTTGAGAAATGTTTTCCTTCCCCCCCCCTCAGACTTTGCTTCTTTCACTCGTTCAAGCAGCTGTCATTATGGTGGAAAATATGGATAACCATATCCACCCTTCCCAACTACCCATCCAAAGCTGACCCTAACGCCACTGCATAGTTTGCCTGCATGGAGGACCATGTGGTGGTGGGTGTTAAGAAATTTCCAGATCGCTAAGTGGTTCGGTTTTGGTTTATTTTCTGTGACTTAGCCGTAGCAGGTTCACAGCCTGTTAAAATTCTCAGCAGCAGCTCTTCGACAAATCAGAGTGACATCCAATGTGGAACTAAATCCAGTACTGGCACATTATTAGGAAGCCAATGCACGTCATGGCGTACAGAAGTGATCTTGGTAGTACAAACGCTTTTGACAAACTCCATGGTGTGTTGTAATACCATTTATAAACACATCCATACAATTAACTATATTATTCACACTTTTATAATGTAAAAGCTGTTAGTAAAGTTGATCTGTAATATTTTCAACTCTCTGGATTTAAGGAATAATTACCAAATACACGCTATTTACTGGGTAGTTTGTACACACATAGGTAGCTGAACAGATACTAGGATCTATGGTTGCTCCTGGATTTGGCATGCATTCCCAGGCTACCAAGGCCATCAGGATAGATCGGCACAGAAATGGTCGTTTCCATTGTGGTGACAGTAGGACTATACAAACTAAGGGTGGTCGAAAAGTTGATGGTGGTTGGGATATGGAGAGTGCCTGCAGAGCAGGACTCTCTTGGTCCTACGCAGAACCAAAACTGGCCAATTCCTGGAAGAAAACATAGGAGTTTAAAAAAGACGTTTCCTGCAGTTCAAGGTAAAGGTGCAGGGTTAGAGCCCGGCTTTTAAGCTTCATGAAGGAGCAGTTCTCAGCACATATAGAAATAACAGTGGATAGAAAACAGTTAAACTACCTGTATGCCAATTAATACGCAAACAAAAACCAATTTTGATCAACAGCTTTTATATGGAAAGACAGATAGAAGGCATTTTATAATTAGCTAGTATTACACATTGAATTATTTAACTTTCTGTGGAAATCATCAGACTGATTATTTAATTGCCACGTGATAGAAATATATAGTAGAGTCTAAGTGTGAAAAGTATAGGGCTTAAGAAACTTAATACATGTAGTATCAATTGGAATACAAATCACAGTTATGTTTGAGAAGAATTGTGTAGACTGAGGTGAAGATACTGGGCCATTTCAGCAATCCCTAGAAGCAATCCTGTTAGACGCGTCCATATATGTTAACTGAAAGTGTCATCGTGTGAGTTTTTAAATTCACCCGTAGGAATTAACATGGATAAATTCAACTGAAATTGATTCTTTGGCTGTGAATATAGCATCTGCAAACTGTGATGGGTGTATATCTGTAGCCAATCTTCATCACCCACTTCCCTTTAATCTGTTTGGAAATACCACCTGCTCTTCATTCAGGGTGCGGACAGTTCTGTAGGCATACGTGGGCATCTTTGCTCTCTCTCTGGATTGTGTATCAAGTATTTCTGATAGTGAGGGTAAATATTCCAGCTCATCTCCTGCTGCTCAGCAGCTCTGGCAATGTTTTCTCCTCAAAGTGAAGAGTGGGTCAGGCAACGGCACCATCTCCTTCTACCAAACCAGGGCGTCCCCAAGAGTTGTTGCCAGGAGGGTTGATTTGTGCCTCACCTGTGTGACACACAGGAAGGTCACAATCTGGGACAAGAAATGCCATTACTGTATGATTTGGCAGTCTGAAACAAGTTGGCAATCCTTTGCTGAAACCAAACGTCCAGAGGCCTGGCTTTCTAGTGAATGCATTGGACTCTTGCTGAGGAGGACTGACTAGCAAAATACTTTGCCCAAGTGAATTAAAATCAGCTAGAGCAATAAAATGCTTCCTTACAAGAAAACCTGAAGTGCCTGAATGTGAAGTGGACTACAGTGAGACTGTTTTAGGGCTGGAAAGCCCAGTAGGTAGGAAATAACCTGCTTCAAGCTGTCTAGTGTGCATATTTGTGTCCTTTACATGATCTTATGCTGCTGAAACAAAGACAGAGCCACTCTATAAGTAAACCATCATTTTTTAACTCTCATTTTGTCTCCAAAGAAATAGCTTTGCATTCTCCTTACTGTGTTGTATAATACCATTTTCTTACCTGTAACATACTGTAGACGTGGCTTTGTAAAAAGTTTCACACCAAAACGTCATCCCTTCAGATCTCTTGACAGTACCTGCTACGTGAAAAATTGGATTATAGAGGATGAGTAGCAGAGAAACCCCCTGCTGAAATCAGCCGGGAAGGATTTAAAAACCCTGGGGGTACCTGTATTGAGGAAGAATAGAAATCTTTGTGAACAAAGTGGTAGTCCTCCTAACTGCTTAGGTTTTTGTTTTGTAATGCCCATAAGCAGATTGTGTAGTGAGGGAAAGAAAAGGAGGTGAGAAAACATCCTAACTCCATATTGGAGGACCCGAGAGAAGAAACCAGAGCCAGATTTTCCTTCAGCTTAATGCCCTTTTACCCCACCCTGTCAGTGTCAGGAATCATTTAGGCTGCAACATATTACGCATCAGTTGTAAGATATCTTCACACTGATTATCCGACAGAAGGGGTCTCACCGT